ATAATTCAAGTAATAATGCCTTACTTTAGACCATGAAAGATCAAGGAGATCAGCAGTATGTCCTTTATATTTGCAGAAGGGCCGCTGCCGAAATGGTGCATTTTTGTCATCAGGGTCTTCGTCAGTTCCACTGCATACCTAGGTAGACATAAAAACAAAGTTTAAAAGTAAGATGTAAAACTGGCCTGGCCAAAGGCTTTAGGCACTGTCCACCTCACCTGTTACCCTCATCAGTTTGTATGATGCCTAACTGAAATATATTTTTTCAAGAAGAGCCTTCCAAACTGGCCTGGAGCTCTGTGCAGCCCAAGTTGGTCTTGAACCTGCAATCTTCCTACTTCTACCTAATAGTAATGAAGTGATAGGCATGTACCACCACAGAGCCTTAATGAAATCTTGAGCCACCAAAAAGAAGACTCCTCTTTGCATTGATTGACTACTTGTCACTTTTTCAACTCTTTTCCTAGACAAACCAGGCTTATTCCTGAAGAGATCCAATTCCCTCCCTAACAGGGGCTCTACTATGTTCTTTTCTGAGCATCTGTTCCTTTAGAAGACATAGGATCAGCATAGGGGTGAGTCATGACTGATGTCAACTAACATTAGCTCATTGCCCTTGGAGTGATGGCTGGTGTTAGGCACAAGGCATGTGTTTAATTTTCATGAACTAGACATAAGGAACAAATTATGGGAGTGGGAAAAAAGGGGAAACTTCCACAGTGATTTCTTCATTCTTAAAAAGGAGTACCCACTGGGCACTAATGGCTCACTTGTGTAATCCTAGCTATTTAGGAGGCTGAGATCTGAATATTGTGGCTCGAAGCCAGCCTGGGCAGAAATGTCCCTGTGAGATTTTATCTCCAATTATCCACTAAAAAAATGGAAGTAGCACTGTGGCTCAAATGAAGCAGTGCTAGTGTTGAGCAAAAGAGCTCAGAGACAGCTCCTAAGCCCTGAATTCAAGCCCCATGACTGTGGGGGGGGGGAGCAGAGAGGGAAGGGAGCACCCTTAATGGATCTATGGATCTTTCCTTTCCTGCCTTTAAACATTGTTCTCTTCATGTGACACTTAAGACTGTAAGACTGTAGCCGCCATCTTAGGACCATAAGGGGAAAAAAGCCCAGGGGAATAGAACAAATCACAAAACAAAAAGATATAGGAGATGACACTATTGAGCTACTGAAGTTACAGAGTGAGAAAACCTTAGTTCTAGATCTGCTATCTCATGGGGCAAGCCATTTTCAGTTGGGTTTTTACCCAAACTGAAAATGGTAGAAAATAATGTCCTGAGTAACGTGTGCCACGGTGTCACGGTTTTTTAGCAACTCCTTGAAATAGATATTAATGCTATGAATATGAAGGAATTAGAACATAACTGAAGCATAAAGATGTTTAAATAACGGACAGTTACCTATCAACATCAGAAACAAAGCAGGAATGTAAATCAGCTAATTTGTCCAGATTTAGCCTTCAGTTTATTTATTTATTTTTTGGGTCTGGTCGTGGGGCCTGAACTCTGGGCCTGAGCGCTGTCCCTCAGCTCCTCAGCTCAAGGCTAGTGCTCTACCACTTGAGCCACAACGCCACTTCTGGCTTTTTTCTTTTTGCTTATGTGGTGCTGAGGAATCGAACCCAGGGCCTCATGCATGCAAGGCAAGCGCTCTACCACTGAGCCACCTTCCCAGCCCTATCCTTCAGTTTATATATGTATGTATGTATGTATATATACATGCATGCATGCATGTATGTTGGTCCTGGGCACTGCTCAATGCTAGCAATCTACCACTTGAGCCACACAGTGCTAAGAATCTCACAGACTTTCTTGCCTTGCTGGCTTCAAACCACAATCCTCAAATCTCAGCCTCCTGAGTAGCTAGGATTACAGGCGTGAGCCACCAATGCCTGGCTTCTTCAACTGTTTTAGAGGATGTGCCATGAAAAGAAATGGTGTGCTAGCTAAGCCTTGCAATATTTACAGAAGGGTGCATACAGAGATGAGTATGGACAAAGTTCTGTGGGGATATAGTAAGGGATTAAATGGAAATGTATTTTGAGGCCACATCTAAATACCTTCTGTCTTCTAGTACATTCTAGCTGGTTGCTCATGGCTGACATCTGTACGTCTATATACTCAGGGAGGGCAAGATCTGGAGGATCATGGTTTGAAGCCAGCAGGAAAGAAATGTCCATAAGACTCCATCTCCAAAATATTCAGCAAAAAGCCATGTTGGACTCCAGGATGAGGGCAATTTTAACACCATATGTATATGTATAATAAATATATATTATTGATTTTTATTATTTTATCTATTTTTTTGTTAGGGAATAAGTCAAGAGCCTTGTGCATGATAAGTACTTATTCTACAAGTTGAGCTAACATTTCCAGTCCTACAATATTTTTAAATAATCTTGCACATAAAGAAAGGTTTTATGCTATGTTATTTTCTTCTTGTAGTGTCATGTTGGTGTTCAAATGTTTCAGAGCATTCAGATTTCAGATTAGGGATGCTCAACCTATCTTGGTTATTTGGAATATCAAAATGAGTAAGACATCTTATCCTCTTAGGGTCTGTTTTTAATATAGTTGTCAGAGTAGAGCCAGGGGAGAAAAAGAAAATGCTACTAAAATACAATGCATCTGTGACTGAAGAAGACAAAATGAAACTCACTAAGGACTGTAAAATAATATGAGGTAGGAGAGGTCAGGAAAGGGAAGGTTTGTGATGAGTGGCTAATCTGCCTAAAGTACTGTATATGCATGTGTGAAACATCACTGTGGAACCCCTTTGAATGAATATACACTTAAAAATGAATGACAGGAACGTAAAACAGGTCCTGTTCTGAGTGTGGGTACTAGTGGGAAGAAGAGAGAATGAGAGGGTGAAGGAAGGTAAATATGGTTAAAGTATTTTATGTATATGTAATAAAAAAATGGAACAATGGCAGCTCTGGTGGCTCATGCCTGTAATTGTTTTCCCTTCCTTCCTTCCTTCCTTCCTTCCTTCCTTCTTTCCTTCCTATTTCTTTTCTTTTCTTTCTTTCTTTCTTTTTCTTTCTGTCTTTTTGTTTCTTTCTCTTTCCCTCTCCTTCCCTTCCTTTCCTTCAGTCCTTCCCTTGTCTCTCTTTCTCTCTTTCCCTCCCCTCTCTCTTTTGATGGTAATATTAGGGGTCTAAATTCATGGCCTTAAGTGTTTGCTCTAACACTTGAGCCATGCCCCTAACCCTTTTTGCTTTAGTTATTTTTCAGGAAAGATCATTAATTTTTCTGTCAAAGAACTATAATATTCCTCTTTTAAAAGGTTCTGTATTCAATCAAGACTTCAATTATACTAAAGGATTGGGAGGGGATTAGAGAGATTTAGGGAAGAATCTGTAATAATATTGTTGAAATAAGCATAATAGGAGATGGTATAGATAGTGTGTTTTGAACAATAATTAATGCATGGAAACTATATGATAAATTAATAAAAGCCAGCCCTTTTCCCTAAAGCAAAATAGTTAAAGATTTTACCACTCTATTAGTGAAGACTTAGGGAAGAAGTGGACTAAGATACAAGGTGGATTTGAATGGATAAAAGGGAGACTGAGCATGTCAAGAGAAGGGCAACACTAGGAATCAGGGCACAGCAACTGCTAGTAGGGTACAGTAGCAGGCCTACTAGGTCAGCATGGGGCAGGATGACAATAATATGAAAAACTGTAAAGTACAGTTCATTGCCTGAAATTAGCCAAAAGACTAGACAAAGAAACAAACAAACACGGAAGACAAGGTAAGTAATAGCAGTATGAAAGTATATACCATATACTATTAGAACACAGATGAGGAACTATTTTGCCTATGGAGTTTGGAGAAAACTAATTAGAAGATAACATATTTCAATTGCACATTCAAGAATGACTAGGTCTTTGCCCTTGAAAGAAATGGAACAAAGAAAGCATTCTGGGGCAAATATTATGCTCCATAAAAGACATAAAAGTGATGGTGTTTAGGATATAGGCCTATATCCAGCATGGCAAATAGGACAGGTGCTAGGGAATGACAAGTGAGTTAAAAATATAAAATGAAGCAATATTAGAAAAAACATTTTTCGGAGGAGATAAGGAGCCGTCAGCAAAACTTCAATAAAATGGCATCCATTATTATTATTTTAAAAGTATATAATATGGATATGAAGGAGGGGATTTTGTTTTATCTAAATTTACATGAGTGGATTGGTTACCTTGAGTAATATTTACTTTCTGGCAACCTTTAAATATCTAATTTCATTTATCAATTCTAATAGAAGAAACACTTCTTTGTAATGCTACATCTCAATTTTAATTAAGTGTCTTCAAGCAACCAATTTCTGATTAACAAAAAGTTATTTTATGGCAAACAAATCATCACATTTTATAATAGTAACCATAAAACAATGAACATACCCCTGTATCTGTATCAGATTTTGATGAACTTAGACTTTCCTGAGAAGGTGATGGGGATACACGTCCTAAAAACAGCATAATAATCATAATAAGTCATACATATATACATAAAGTCATATATGTATATATATATATACACACCCACCCACCAAAAACACTCAGAAACAATAATGTGATAATACCTAATTAACAGTCATAGAATAGTATGGAAAAATAAATTTGCTAAAAAATAAGCTTATAAACATAAAATATTTATCTTTATCATTTTAAATATTTTTAAATAAAATGATTTATAAAAGTCTTTCTAAGCCAGTAAGCAAAATGCTATCAAATCCTCAGTATTCATAGTGAATACATTCTTACTTATTGTAACAAGTAACAAGAGGAACAAGAAAGGGTTAAGTAAGAGAGGGTCTGGGCTGAGGTTATGTTGCAAGGGCCACTTGAAATAGTCTTTGCTCTAGGCAGGGAAAGAAATGATCCAATAAACACAGTTTAGTTGGCAAACACATCATCATCTTCAATTATGTATTACAACATAGCACAAATAAATTCACCAGGTTTTTTTTTTCCCTCATATGTCAGGCTATTAATCATTCACATATCCATGGGTCAGAACCTTGAGCATAGACAGTCTTTCTTCTCTCTGCCAGCCATAGACAGAAAATGGGAACAGTCAGTGCTCACACCTGTGTTGCCTCTAGGGTCAGTTCACAAGGGTTTTCTAAAGAACACAGGGCCTAGCTAGCAAGCTTAATGAATGTCTCTAGACCTTTGGCTTCTTGACTAAATTCTATATTTTCACCCATGGCCTCTCTACCATCCCTCAATCCATCCCTCTCTACCATCCCTCATCCCAGATGACTGGGAGGGGGAAAATGTGTGGAGAAAATTATTGTATAAATAATTATAAGGGCTGGGCGCTGGTGGCTCACGCCTGTAATCCTAGCTACTCAGGAGGCTGAGATCTGAGGATTGCGGTTCAAAGCCAGCCCGGGCAGGAGAGACCTTGAGACTCCGATCTCCAATAAACCACCAGAAAACCGGAAGTGGCGTTGTAGCTCAAGTGGTAGAGCGCTTGCCTTGAGCTGAAGAGCTGAGGGACAGCGCCCAGGCCCAGAGTTCAAGCCCCACGACTGACAAAAAAAAAAAAAAATTATAAGGAATCCCTACTTACATCAATTCTGTATAGTTTCACCAAAACTTACCATGAGACATACTTTTCATAGATACAATCAATGTTTATGCATATAATATTTTGAAGTTTACCTTTCCAGTTAATGTTTATTATGTGTTTCTTTATATAATGACAATATTAATTCACTTTTTGTATGGCTGTTTCCTTAATCATTATTTATCTATTGAGGGGATATGCATTATTTTCAATCATTATTTATTTATTGAGAGGATATGCATTATTTTCATTCTTTATCTGATTTAATTAGCTATTTCCTTCTAACCTAGGATAGAAATGTAGGTTGCGAGGGGAAACAAAGTAACTATTTTCAGTGGTTCATGAAATTAGCTACAGAATACATTGGAAAAAAGATAAATCAAAAGCTTTTAATTGTGGTGGCTCTTTGCATTGAGGTTAGAGGCATTTTGCTGTTCACTTGCATTACTTTTAATTGGCTTCTCTTGGAGAGAAGGAAAAGCTACATAGCTTGGGTTGGCCTCTTGCCTCAGCCTCTCAAGTGGTGAGATTACAGGCACATACCACAAAACTCAACAATATTTTGGCTATTATCCTAAGTAATGATAACAAATGACTTCCAGATATATGCTGCATATTCCTTATTAGACTTTGTGCTTTTTCAGATTTTGGAGTATTTGCACCAAATTCACAACTTGAGTGCCCCTAAAATCAAACTCTAAAATCCAAAATGCTCTAAAATATGAAACATTCTAAGCATCCTGCTGGTGTTCGACAAGTTACAGATTATAGGGTATTTGTAATTTTGGCTTTTTGGATTAGGGATGCTCAACTTATATTGAATCTAACAAAAATTCTAGATTTACATATTTTTAGATGAATGAAATATACCTTCAGTATTATATTTCATTCGCATATTGTTGAAATAGTCAAAAGCATTTTTTAAAGCCCATATTCTCACGACATTGTCTTGTCCAGCTGAGGCAAGTAATCGGCCACAGTGAGAAAATTTCATGGTCCAAACAGCTCCCTATGAAAACAAAACAAGGTTTAAAGTTTTTACTTTAAAAGTGTAGAGACAAACCCAGATGCCCCACTACAGATGAATGGATCAAAAAATTGTGGTACCTATATACAATGGAATATCATGTGACCATTAGGACAAAATAATGACTTTACAGGGAAATGGATGGAACTAGAACAAATCATTTTGAGGGAGGTAAGCCAAGAGCAAACAAACAGCACATGGTCTCCCTGATACGTGGATGTTAAATTCAAAATGCAAGGAAATATGACATAGTAAACAGGACTGGAGAAACAAATGACTCCATGTTCTTGAGTACATATGTGGGGTGTGTGTGTGTGTGTGTGTGTGTGTGTGTGTGTGTGTGTGTGTGTGTGTGTGTGTGTGTGTGTGTGTGTGTGTGTGTGTGTGTGTGTGTGTGTGTGTGTGTGTGTGTGTGTGTGTGTGTGTGTGTGTGTGTGTGTGTGTGTGTGTGTGTGTGTGTGTGTGTATGTCCACATCTGAGGGAAGCCAGGAGGAGGGCACAGAATCAGAAGAAAATAGGAAAATATACAACAGAGGGGCCCATCAGCTGCACTGAACATCAATGAAAATGAACTAAGCAACTCAAGGGCAGTGATGGGAGAGAGGGAATGGGAGGGAAAGAGGGAATGACTTACACTAAGCAAAAGGAAAGAAATGTACATATCATCTGATGTGGAAGAAATAGTTGTATTGTCAAAGCTCATAGAATTCACCAACTTTATAGACCGTGATAATGACAATTTGCATTGTGAAGGTTAAAATGTGTTTGTGACTTTAACTAAATATCACCATCCCACAATACTGTGAAATGCGTGAAATTTATGTAATCACTTAATCTCAATAAAAAATTATTTAAAAAGTATAAAGACATTAAACCAAATGGAAAAAATATTCTGAACTGTACATAGTAAGATAATGTTCACATTACTAATACTACTCATGGCTGGAAGAACAATGTTGCTATTATGTCATAAATGAAGAATTTCAGAAGATAGGCAGGATAGGAAATTTATAGTTTGTCAAAATTTAAACTCATAACTTCAAGCCATAGTCACATATGAATAAAAACAAGAGACCTAAGGTAACCAGTAATCATAATTAGAAAAGCACAAATCCAAGTTTGGAACTTCAGTCCCGGGGCTGAACATCAAGGGGGAAAGAAAGTTCTTTGCATGGCACTAGCAACTTCTAAACAGGATGGAGGAGAATAAAGCTGCCTGAACCAAGACCCTTATGTTACTGGGCACTTAGAAGAAATACTGAAATGGTATAGTTCCGAGCTATTTTCCTCCTTCGGAACAAGGCTCTGCAACATTATTATACTGAAAACACTGGGGAAGTGTGTGGATATATTGGGAGAATGAAGGATTAAAGAATATCAATTCTTAAATTAGAAAGACCAAATCCTATTACAATAAATAATAATAGTCCTATTATAATAAATAGTAAGACATCTATTTATATAAAAAAGATTATACAACTTAGAAGCAGTGACTCATTTACTGAAACAACATTTCTATAAAAGTCAACTGTAGTAAAAATTTATCATTCTGTTTGGGCATGATGGTTCACACCTATAATCCCAGCTATTGGGGACTACTGGATTGTGCTTCAAAGACAGTCTCAACAAGAATTAAGACATTATCTCAAAAACAAAACAAAACAAAACTGCATGTGAGCTAGAATCTGGTGGCTCATAACTATAATCCTAGCTACTGAGGAGGCTGAGATCTGAGGAACATGGTTTGAAGCAGACTAGGCAGAAAACTCTATGAGTCTCTTAATCTCAATTGACCATCAAAAACCTGGAAGTAGAGCTGTGGCTCAACTGGTAGACTGCTATCCTTAAGCAAAAAAAGCCCAGGAACAGCACCTAGGTCCTGAGTTCAAGCCCCAGGACTGGCACACACATGAAAAACAAAACTGCATGTAGTGGTTCACATGTTTGGTTCCAGTTACTTTGGGGAGGGGGGAAGATTATGGTTTGAGGCAAGCTGGGACAAAGGTAACACCTATATCTAAAAAAACAAACTAAAAGCAAAAGGACTAGGAGGTGTGGCTCAGGTGGTGCTTGCCTAGCAAGCATTAAACCATGAGTTCTGTTTCTGGCACTATAAAAATAAGATTCAGAATTTGGACCCCACTACAAAAAGATTTTACTTAAACAGGAAATAAGGAGCTGGGGCTGGGAAGGTGGCTCAGTGGCAGAGTGCTTGCTTTGCATACATGAGGCCCTGGGTTCTATCGCTCAGCACCACATAAACAGAAAAAGCCAGAAGTGGTGCTGTGGCTCAAGTGGTAGAGTGCTAGGCCTTGAGCTGAAGAGCTGAGGGACAGCACCCAGGCCCAGAATTCAAGCCCCATAACAGACAAATAAATAAATAAAGAGCTGGATGCTAGTGGCTCATGACTGTAATCCTAGCTACTCAGAAGGCTGACATCTGAGGATCATGGTTCAAAGACAGCCCAAGCAGAAAAGTCCCCATGAGACTTTTATCTTCAATTAATCACTCAAAAACCAGAAGTGGAGCTGTGGCTCAAAGTGATAGAGTACTAGCCATGAGCAAAAGAGCTCAGGGACAGCACTCAGGCCCTGAATTCAAGCCCCACGACTGACAAAAAATAATTACAAAATAAATAAATAATGAGAGAAATATTACAGGATAATTAATCAGATTCCTTAGTAAAGGTAGAATAATCAACTCAAATATTTCATGTATGGATTGCAGGAACCAAAATTTAAATTCCAATTCTGCTTTCATGTGATGTTTATAATTGCTTGCTTCCTTCTAGGTAAGTTAACTTTATCATTAAATTCTCCATCAATTCCCTGATCAAGTGTACAGTATCATTTATACAGTTTTGAGCTGTACTGCCATCTTCCCTATGCTGATACTTTTAGCAAATAACTATAATCAGTGTATACTTTTGTCTATATTTTTATTTTATTCTTTTGGCAGTGCCTGGGGTGGAGCCTAGAGCCTCACGCATGCTAGGCAAGTATTTTACCACCATTGAGCTACATTCTCAGCGTGGTACATTTAAATTCTGAGAGAGAACATGAATATCTACCCTTCCCCATGTTCTGAGTATCTTACTTAAAAAAATTATATGGAGCTTCTGAAAAATTGGTTTAAATTATTTAAAATAGAGTGGGGGGTGAAATTTTAAACGTTTTGTAAACTGATAGACCATCCTCTAAAATAATTGCTTTAGGGTTTTGTTTCTCTCCATATCTTGTTTAATGATAGAGGTCTAGAGTTTATGTATTCAAAACCTCACTTCTCTAACAATACTTTAGAGATCAACTCTGTATTACTTATTATTTAAAATTATAAATTCACTCTTCTTCCTTTTAAAACCTTTTTTTTTTGGTGTGAGTGGTGATACTAGCACTCGAACTTAGGACCTTTGAGCTTGGTCAGCTTGGTTGCTCATGGCTAGCACTCTACTACCTGAGCTATGCCTCCAGCCCAGTTTCTTGCTGGTTAATTGGAGAGAGGAATCTCA